ATACAGTATAATAGAAGTATAGTTTTTATTTTCAATGATGTTCTTGACTCTTTATCTCACTCTTATCTAAATGTTTGTCTGTATCTGTAAGAAAGGTTCTGTTTAAATAAAGTGTATTTATTAAATCCTACAGGTGTGTCCCCACCTGTAGTCTGTGAGGTGGGGGCAGTCCTCTCGCTGGCACACCTGGAACTCAAAGCTGTTCCCGGGGCAGGGTCGCCCCCCGTTGTTGGGCCTGAGGAAACAACAAGGTTCAAGGCTTGTATTGGTCATCTGTACACAGCAGCTACGGTGGAGATATCTCAATGAAGAGCTGAGGCTCCTCCAACAGAGAAACACAACACAGATAACAGTGCAAGTAAATACAATTCAAATATAATAGACTGCTAAACACCTGAACGAAGAACATCCATAACATTCACCTGTTTGCATCTTACACATTATTCATCACCCTTCTGGCACTACTTCTATTCTATATTATTGTATTTACTGTTATCTGTTGTGTTGTGCTGTGGGAGGAGCCTGTGACCTCAGATTATCATTGGCATTTCTAAACTGTAGCTGCTGTACAAATGAGAATAAAAGCCTTGAATATTGAATCTGATTGGTTGTTGAGATGATTGACAGCTGACTCACGCGGGGGCGTCGCAGTGGTGCGCCCTGTAGCGCACGCCCCCCCCGCAGCTCCGCGAGCACGGGCCGAACGGGCTCCAGGGGCCCCAGCCGCCATCTTGTTTCAAGAGGTCAGGGGTCAGACGCATGCAGAGGCCCCGGAAACAGTGCTGTTACCATGGAGACAGGGAGCAGACACACGTTACTCTGTATGCTAAGCTACGCTAGCTGTTTCCTCTTGCTGACACTCTACATGCTAAGATATAAAGGAACTAACGCATGAGTTCGAAATCAGACGACTCAACTTCGTCACGCCCCACATTCTTAACATTCTGAGAAAATTCAAAATTTGGAAAAAGTCAAAATTCTGAGAAAAAGTAAAGTCATAAATAAAGTGTTCTGGATTATAATCCCACCTTCCCCGGTCCACACTTGGTGCCGTGCAGCGCCGGGCCCTTCTTGGTCTTACAGTAGAACGGGTTGCTGTACTCGCTGCACCAAAGCTGCTTGCAGGGGTCCAGGGTGGTGTACTGCACACACACACAGTAACACACACATCACATCAACAAAACACACAATCACATCAACACACACACAATCACATCAACACACACACACACACACACACACACACACACACACACACACACACACACACACACACACACACACACACACACACACATCAAAAACACACACACATCACATGAACACAAGTCAAGCTTTGTCCATTGGTCAGTTTCTCTGCAGAGTCCCTCTCACGGCTCGTACCGCGGTGCAGAGGCTGTACCCCGGTCCGAAGTCGAAGCGGCACTGCTGGTCCAGGCTGTACTGAAACCCCGGCAACGGAGGCTGCACCGGCCAATCGTGGAGGAACGGGTCGTCACGGAGACAGTCATAGGTGCTGAGGAGAGACGTGGAAAATGTGTTTACAACAAGGTTCCTCAATGTGTTCCTCACTCCTTCTTTTAGCCGCTCAGTTCCCATCCTGACGAAGTGTTACCTCATCCACTCTACCTCATCCACCTCAACTAGTCTACCTCATCTACTCTACCTCATCTACCTCATCTACTCTACCTCATCTACTCTACCTCAACTACTCTACCTCAACTACTCTACCTCATCTACTCTACCTCATCTACTCTACCTCAACTACTCTACCTCATCTACTCTACCTCAACTACTCTACCTCATCTACTCTACCTCAACTACTCTACCTCATCTACTCTACCTCATCTACCTCATCTACTCTACCTCATCTACTCTACCTCAACTACTCTACCTCAATCTACTCTACCTCATCTACTCTACCTCATCTACTCTACCTCATCTACCTCATCTACTCTACCTCATCTACTCTACCTCATCTACCTCATCTACTCTACCTCATCTACTGTACCTCAACTACTCTACCTCAACTACTCTACCTCAACTACTCTACCTCATCTACTCTACCTCATCTACCTCATCTACTCTACCTCATCTACCTCATCTACTCTACCTCATCTACTCTACCTCATCTACTCTACCTCAACTACTCTACCTCAACTACTCTACCTCATCTACTCTACTACCTCAACTACTCTACCTCAACTACTCTACCTCATCCAC